CAGTTCCTACATTATAAAATTATTCACATGAATTTAAAAAATTTTTTCCTAGTTAAAAAGAGATACTATAATTGCATTCAATTTATACAGTATTTTGGAAATATACACATTTTTTGTATTCTCTTTTCCTGTTTAGGTGAGGAGTAAGTCTGCAAGAAACTTAAACTATTATTGTTATTATTTGCTTTTAATTAACATACAGAATAGTGAGAATTATGACATTTTTACACTCTTAGGCCTTTGTCTAGCACATCTATGGTGTGAATCTTACATACCAACTAGTGCCCACACAGCACAATCAGGTATCTTTAGAGAAACTGACAATACTTAACTTTAAACACAGTATTTTTATTTATTTTTTATTAATTTATTTTTTACATTCAAATCCTAGTTCCACCTCCCTCCTTTCCTTCTGCTCCCCCACCCTCTCTTCTCCCATCTGCTCAATGGAGAGGGTAAGGCCTCCCCTATGAAGTCTACTAAGTCTGTCCCACCATCTCATTGAGGCAAGACCAAGGCACCTCCCTACCCTCCACACCCCTGTGTCTAGGCTGGGCAAAGTATCTCTCCATATAGAATGGGCTCCATTGTACATTAGAGTTAGATATTTGACCCACTGCAAGTGGCCTCATATATAGTTCCAGTCACACCATTGTCACCTATATTAAGGGAGTCTAGTTTGGCCTTATGCAGGTTCCCCATTTGTCAGACCTGAGTCAGGGGTCGGCAAGTCTGTGGGTTTCCCCACCATAGTCTTGACTCCTTTGTTCATATTATCTTTCCTCCCTCACTTCGATTGTACTCCAGGAGCTTGGCCCATTGGTTAGTTGTGGATTTCTGCACCTGCTTCCATCTGTTTCTGGAAGAGGATTCTAGCTTCTCTGGTGTTGAAATACAGTTTTTAAATAATTGTTCCATTTTATTGTAGTTATTATTAGTCTTTTACTATGTCTAACTTATCAGTTAAATTTTACCACAGGTCTATGTATAGGAACAAACATAGTGTATCTGTGGTTTGTTCTGTGTCTATGGCTTCAGGCTTCTACTGAGGGCCTGGGAACCTATTCCCTGGGCATAAAAGGGGGTTAGCTAAATGTGTGTCCTATTGGTTTTGATTCTTTGCAGAGCTCTGAGTAGCATCCACTGGCAGTGTTCATTGCCCAAGGCTGAAGAGGCTGTGGGTGCAGAAAGACTGTTCTGTTTGCTAGTCAGGAGGAAGGGGGGAGACTTCTGAGCATTGAGGCTTCTGGGCCAAGTAGTAGGAAAAGTGAAGATGCTTCCAGAGGCCTCATCCCTGGGGAGATGGGAGGTGAGAGGTATGCAAGAGGGCAGCGGGCACTGGGGAGGTCGTGAACCTGAGGCGAAGGAGGAATAATAGTGAAGCTTGCAGGAAGAGTGAGAGAGGACTTTCGCTTCAAGTAAAAGAGAACTGGTGTCGTGGAACTCTCGCCAAGACTTGAAACAACACTTCTCAGGAACCCTGGGCTCCTCGTCTTCATAAATCCCTGGTGCATCAACCGTCACTGGTCATACTTCTCCCTGGTAAGCATCTTTGCCATTAGCCATTTCCTTTGACTTTCAACACAGGTATGGCTTGTGTGTGTGCTGCCTGTCCCAACTACAGGTGAAAATGGTACCAAACTGTCTCCCCACCCCTCTCTGACTACTGCTACCCAGGCCTCCGCCCTGATATCCACGCTTCCCTCCTTCTCCCAAAGGCTATGTAGCCTCATCCTTTAGTAAGAGGTGTTCCAGTGACCCAGGCCCATCCCTCTGGTTGTGGGTAGAAAGTGCCTGAACTTGCAGATGAAAGTGGTCACCCAAAGGCTGGTGTAGACTCTGTTAGAAGCCATGTGCCCCCTTCTTACTTTGTGGCAAGGCTCTGCTTTTTATCACTCTAAACCACACAGATCTTTAATTCCTGATGTGTGATAACCTAATCTCTCCTCAGTTCATAAAGCTGAGTTCTTCTCCTCAGAGTCCCTTTAGGGCCTTGGAATACCTTCTGCATCCTCAGAGCTGATCCTTGTCCTTTAGACTTCACCCAGGATCCATCTGCAACCAGAAACATCAGTCTTCAGGACTGATAACTGATGTTCAGAATAATGGCCTGGATGATATATATATATATATATATATACATATATATATATATATATATATATTTCTCTTATTGGTTAATGAATAAAACATTGTTCAACTAATGAGGCAAGAAGATAGGTGGGTCTAGGAGACAAGGAATATTCTGGGAAAGGTAGGAAAGTGAGCCTGAGACATGGAGCCTCGATGTTGCCAGAAGAGTAACACCATGCTGGGGCATTACAGCCTTGTGGCAATACATAGATTGATAGAAATGAGTTAATAACTAAGAAAGTGCTAGCCAATAAGAAGCCCTAGTCATCGACCGACAGTTTAATAAATTAATATAGCATCTGTGTGTTTATTTGGGGCTGAAGAGGTTATGGGACCAGGCTGGAGGGGCAGAAACTTATGTAACACCAGGATGCAAATATTCTTAGACCCAGTAAGGTCCTGGGAGTGGTACCTACTCCTTCACAGAAGGGTGAAGCCCTTCCTCCACCAGCTACAGAAACCGGGAATGAAATGAAGGGCTCCTTTTTGAACTCATTTTGTCCACAAACATCTAAGCATTTTTCTCACCACTTTAAACAAGGTGTTGAATTTAACCTGCCCAAATTCAAATCCCACCATTCCCACTGACCAGCAAGCTAAATATATGGCTAAACCTTTTCATGCACAGAGACAACGGTGGTGCTCATTTCACAGGACTGCAGACAGTTTGTGATGTTAATTTCGACAACTTGACAGGACCTAGAGTCATTCAGGAAACAGAGTTCTGTGGGTGTCCATGAGGGTGTCTTCAGGGAGGTTTAACTGAGGCGAGAAGAGTCACCCTAAAGGTGGGTGGCACCATCCTGGATGGAATAAAAAGGAAGAAAGCAGGGCAGTGGTAGTGCACACCTTTAATCCCAGCACTCAGGAGGCAGAGGCAGGCAGATCTCTGTGAGTTCAAGGCCAGCCTGGTCTACATAGCCAGCCAGGACTACATAGAGAAACCCTCTTGTGGGGGGGGACTGGATAAAAAGGGAAGAAAAGAGAATGTGAGCTAAACACCAACACCCACCTCTCTCTGCTTATTGACTGTAGACACAATGTGATCAGACGCCCCACCTTCCTATCGAGTGGGAAATAAGATTCACTAGAACACAGCATAGGTTGACTGATGTTCATTCGGGGAGCAATCACTTATACCTGAAACAGATGACTGCAGCAGGTTCCCACTCCATGCACGCCACCCGATGATGCTCTCTGCAACCCGACCAGGTCACATCTGCCCAGTGGGCGTGGGCAGTGCAACAGGTGCGGGCGAGGTGGATTTCTTACACCTTCCTGTGACCACAGCTAGAGAAGCCATCACACTTTCCCTTCTGTGGTAGACTGTGTGCTCAACTCAGGAGCCCAAACAAGTTATTTTTTCCCCCTTAAGCTATTTTGTCACTATTTCATTATAGCAACAAGGAATGCATCTCATGCAGAGGGTTACACAAGTTAGTGAAGAGGCGACCACTGAGATGAAGTTTCTTTTGATGGATATGACTGTCTACTTAGCACTTCCTAAGAAGTGCCCTGATATAGACTGTGAGTCTCAGAAACCAGGACTCAAGTGGCAGACTTAGAGTCCTAGCGTCCCTCCTTCCAGGTAGTGTGAGTTTCTGCTAGTATAGTCAGGGGACACCTTTTGCAAACTGTAGACTTCCTAAGTCAAGGCCAAGCAGAGTGCGGGTGACGGAGCTTTGCCCTCTCTGGTCTGCTGGGTGAGTAGCAGTGTCTCTCTTTACCCCAGGCCCTCGGTGCTTCATTCCAACCTTAAATGAGGAAGAAATACAGGGGCAGGAGTGGGCAGCAGGGCTGTAGCAATCAGAATGCTACAGGGGTGGGTATGAGTCTCAAGGCAGCAAAGAACTGGACCAGGACACATGCTAGAAATAGAGTTCAAAAAAAAAAAAAAAAAAAAAAAAAAAAAAAAAAGGAAAAGCCTCCCTCCACCCCACCCCATCAATGACAGTAGACTAATAAGTCCATTTGGGAAATGCCCCAAAAGTATGTAACACAGCTTCTCCCAAATCTGTCAGGGATTGGGGGGCGTGGCAGAGTCCACCTCCCCGCCACCAATCGGCTTTCTTTATATGTTAATGTCAGTGTTGTCATCTCCACTCTCCATTCTTCAGCCACAAGAAGAGGGCAGACTAGGTTGTCCTCACTCTGGAGTCCCTGCTCTTTGCTCCCATACCTACCGCATCTCTGTGCTGTTGCTGTGCTGTGCTCTGTGCTGTGCTGGCTTTCCATTCCTTACTGACGAACTTAGGGCAGAATCTGGAAGACTGGTAAATGTGTGGTTAACATATGTCCACTTAATGCAAAATGACACCCCGAGGGGGCTTTATGCCAAGAGTCACCTCAGTGTCTGAAATAACTTTCCCTGTGTTGTCCGGTACATCAGTGGCCCTGTCACATGTAGCAGGATTTTGGAGTGCTCAGGGCCCAGTTCTCCCATGCAGACCAGAAGTTCAACACTGCTGAGCTTGACAGTGGCAGCGAGCCATGGCAACTAATAGGTAACAACTGCAGTTGACCAGGACTGAGGGGTCTACTTGGAAGAGGAGGCTTGCTGTGCAGGGGAGTGTGGATGTGGAGAGCACAGACCATTGCAAAACCAACAGTTGGCAGAGGGCTGGTCCCCGAGAATTCTTGCTCCTCCAAGATGGGCTAGGGAACTGTGCAGGTCTGAAATCCAGGGTCCCGGTCCACGCCCACCACAATGGTAACTGTCCTATGCCCCTGGGTGGCGAACTCTCCTTCTCACCCTTCGCAGTGCACCAGGGGCACAAAGGGACCCGGTCGCGGCAGTTTTGAAAATATCAAGGAAGTTGATCTGGGCTGGGGCCCAAGCGGTGACGACGAGGGAGGGCGGGAGGAGGAGGGAGGGATGCGCGCGAGGCCAGGACTGCGGGCGCGGGGCAGCACAGCTCGCCCGGCTCCGGCGGGCAGCGCGGCGGCCCCAGCCTACGACCCCCGGGATCCTCCTCTGACCACGCCGCCTGTGAAGCTACACAACGCCGCATGTATCCCCACGCGAGCCCCAGTGCCGCGGGCCGCGCCTAGGGGCGCCGGTCGTTGCCTGGGGAGGACCCCGGCTTCCCGCTCTATCCAAGGCTACTCGAGCACCACCGGGCCCTGCAGAGGCCCGCGCAGAAGGGACCATGAAAGGTAAGCAGACGCCCTGGCAGCACAGAGATCACCCATTCCTTCCCCCACAGACACGGGCCAGGGACACCTGGAGCCTGGACTGCAGGAGGGCTGAGGGTCCCCAACGCTGGGGAAGTTTTTCCAGGTCGCCTCCCCCCCCCCCCGACTTTCTTTTTACTATCTCTGAGTAGGTGGTGGGGCAGGAGGTGGGGGTGGGGGAGAGAACTGGACGGAACGCGACGGGACAGAAAGAGTCCTAAGTCCTGGAAAGAGAAGAGAGGGGTGATAAACCATCATCACACATGGCCCTTGCTGTGCCGGCCTTGCCGCCATTGCTTACCCCTCAAAACAAGTTTAAAGTCCAGAGACAATTCCGATGCGATTCCCAGGGACCACAGAAAGATGCTTGGTGTAGATCACAGCTGAGGCCCCATCCCAGGGGCTCCTGCAGACCCCAGCCAGGCTTATGCTCCTCTCTTCCACCAACTCAAGACAATCATGCCAGTCAGAGTCCCAGCTGAGTCCTGACCTTCCTGACATCTGAACTTCCCTGACCTGGGGACCACGAGCAAGCCCTGAGGGCCAGACAGAATTGAAATGGAAAAAGGAACCCTTCTTGATCCCAAGCTGCTTGCTCCTGGGTCCTGGAGAGCTCCCTTCTTGGCCGGGAGAGAAGTAGGCTTTGGAGGGTTGTGGCACTCTTTCTGCAGTAGCCCAGGGGAGAACGTCACAGCTTTGCCCTTCCTAAGAAGACCTCTGGGCTCCAACACTACACTCTCAGGTGTTGCTGAGAAGGCACCTGGAAGCCAGACCCCACCTGTCAATCTTGCTTCAGCTGGAACAGATGTGGCTTGCCTCTTTGGTATTCAAGGGTTGGGAAACCCAGAGAGTAGGGTTGACTCTGAATGTGACACATGTTCAGTACCCCCATGGGACCCACACTTTGTTTAAAGGGCCACTGATGGTATTGTGAAATTAATAATGTTAACAGGGGCTCTCCTCCTCCCCGACTCTCATTTTGCATTGAGCCCCAGGAATTTCATAGCTGGTACTATGGAAAAAGCAGCCTACAACTTATTGCTAGCCAAAAGATCTAGAGCCCAGGACTCTGACCCCCAGCCCAGAAAAGACCTGTTCCTTTCTGCTTCCTTCCCTTGGGCCTCTGGCACCTTCTGCCAAAGCTTTCTGATGGTGTCATGGTCTTAGACTGACCTGGGTAAGCCAGAGAGTGGCCTTGGCAGATGAAGAAGAACCTTGCCCATGGGCCCCTGATCCTAGGGGCTGCATCTCTGGAGCTCTCTCCTATCTGTAGTCCAGGGCAGTCCATTTTCTAAAAGTTCTGAGGACACATCTCACTATAGTCTACCGGGCTTTGGATTGCCCTGGACCTTGCCCATGGGATGGTGCTAGGATACTGATGGTGCTAGGATGCTGAGATTCTCATTGTGCTTTTGACCCCACCCCCAATCCCCACCCCACCCCCTGCAGACAAAATATAAAAAGGCAAAGATAGGGCTCAAAACCTGCACTGGGGACAAAAGAATGAGCGTGAATGAATGTTTCTTAGGAGGTCCCCAGGAAGGAACGGAGGCAATTGTGAATCCTGCCTGCTCACTCCTGCTGCAATTCTGGTGTGTCCCGGGGTTCCAGGATAACTCTCCTCCACAAGCTTAGGAGCAGCTCTTTAGAAAACTTCAGTGATTTCCTGTGACACCCCAGGGCCTCAAGGGGCACAGAGCTGCCAGGAGAGAAAATTATTGACTCCCAGCATGCCTCCCACTCAGCAGCCAGAAAGCTATCATCTCTACCTATGATGGGAAGGGCAGGGTAGATGGAAACAGCCTTTGGGATCTTTTTTTTTTTTTTTTTTTTTTTTTTTTTTTTTTTGGTTTGGTTTGGTTTGGTTTTTTTGTTTGTTTGTTTCACCCTCAATGGAGTGAAAAAAGTATAGTACCCTTGGGAGCTGGGGAGGGAGACTTTCCAAAGACGCCCCTCCCCAAGGGAGGCTGACTTTTCTGGCTCCTTCAAGACCCCACCAATCTCCCAATTACATCTGCTGGCCAAGGACCACAATGTCCCCTGCTCAAAACAAACACGGTGATGTGATGTTTTGCAGAGGGAAGCATCATTGGTGGGGACAGTATTTAAACCAGAAAGCAGGCCTGTTGAGTGCCTGCCCATCCCCTCCACCCCCATGACAGGGTCCTGCTCTGGAGGCCAAGATGTTTCTGCTGAGGGCGGGTGGGGGAGGAGGCTCCAGCCTGACAGTGGCTGGCCAGGCCTCCCAGGTAGCCAAGACTTTTTATGCAAGCTGGCACCTGGCCTCTCTCACTGGTAAGCCTAGGAGCAAACAGCTGCCACAAGCCCACCTCAGAATTTCCCACTGACTTGTGAGCCATTAACAGCCACCTGTGTGTGACAGGGGCTTGATGGAAAGCCCTCCCAGAGCCTCCCAGAAGTAGGCTGTAAAGGCAGAATCTCAAACTTCAAAGATGCCCAATTTGGCCCTCAGATGTGGGTCTCCAGTCCTGGTTCCCCCTCCTGAGTATTCCTTGAGGCCCAGGAGCTCTGGGCCCCAGTAACACTTGGTGTGGTGGGAAGCATGTGTTTGGTGTGTGTCTCTGTCTCTGAGAGATGTGTGGCTCCGCCCAGTAAGGAGACTAGGGCGGAGCTGATGGCACAGAGGTGAAAAGAGCCACCAACTGATGCAGGGGTCACAGAGGTCACAGAGATTTGGATGTTAGAGGTCAGCGCCAAACCATCCAAAATTCTCACTACAAAGTTGTTACCCTGCTGCCCATCTGGGATAACTTTAAAACCAGAAGACTCATATCTCAGAGCTAACTTGAGAGAGAAGAAACAGCATGCTGCTTTGGAACAGGCGCTGGTGGACAGCTTGGCACTTTCCGTGGATGCGCAGCTGGTCTGGGTGTTAGACTTGGCATCTGGGGTGGTGTGAACTCTTGCATATACTCCACCTGTATTCAATTATGCTGTGCCCCCCCCACCCTCTGTGTGCTAAAGTCAGCCCAGTCTAGCACAGCTCAGCTTTATCACGGCACACCATAGGCCCCAGTCCCCTCATCAAGTAGGCTGGATGATGCTACAGAGAGGTGTTTGAATATGGGGTTTCATGAACATTCTGTCTGCCCATTCTCTAGCTCACAATACTTGTTTATTGTGTAATGTGTTAACATGCTTCTGTTTAGTGAACATGTATAGATAGGGCTGATGTTAGATGCTAGGGTTCTCAAAGTCTTGGAACTAGTGTCCAAGAAGATACAAAGAAGAGCTTAGACACTGACCTTTCTCTCAAAGAGCTTTCCTTTTGCTAGGACACAAGGTTTGTGCCCCATAATTGTGAAAGAGCCTAGAAGTAGTCAGGGTTACAAAAGAGGCATCAAGGATGGAGTGCATGCTTGTACTGACTCTTCTGGCTGGATTTTTCTGATGTTTGTTGTTTGTGGGGTTTTTTTGGTTTTGTTTTTTGTTTGTATGTTTGTTTGTTTTGTTTATGTTCTATGGCCTTGGATGTGAACTCCTGGGGTCTCACTGAACACTTTCCCAATTAGACCTAGAATGATTGTCCCATACATACATAGTCCCCCAAGGTCCTGGCCTGTGTTTCCAGTAATGTCAGCATCTCTATTGGAGACTGCAGACCTTTCTACAGAGTTCAAGGAAAGTAATCTTCACTTCCATCCGAAGCCAAGTAGATTCTGGGATGTCTCCCTCCTGCTTCCAGAGAGCCAATACATGTGGGAGACCTGCTTGAGGGGATGAGGTGCAGCTGCTGAGAGGGAGGCAGCTGCACTGTGTGGCAGACCCCAGGCGTGTAGATCCAAGGACAGTGATGGATAATCAGGACAGCTGGTAGAGAAAAACAAAGGGGTGACAGGGACAGTGTACTCGGGAGGGGTCCAAAGAGCAAGTGAATGAATGAATGTCCAGAAAGGGCTTCAGCTATGCGTCAAGGGTGGGGCAACTTGGATCAGATAGCTTGGGAGAGGCTAGAAATGGTGCCAGTGAGCATTGAGCCTTGGGTACTTCAGGAAGTGTGCTGGTGGGTAGACAGATTTGCCTAGAGTTGAGGGCTTGCTAAGAGAAACTGAGGGCCACGGGCCAGGGCAGCCTTGTGCCCCAGTGTCTGTTATTGTCCTTGGAGAACCTGTAGGGCTCGTCAGAAAAAGGCTCATTTGACACCTCTCACTAGGCTCAGTTATATCCCTCCTTTAACTTTGTCCTGTGTTGGAAAAACTCTACTCTTAGAGGGTGAGAAGAAGAAATCGAGCTCGCAATGGAACCGAGAGGCATGGTTTAGGACACAGGCAAAGAACTAGGAAAGTGGGAGGGAGGGAGTGATCCATACTGTTGGTGGTCATCAGAGGGGAGGGAGAATTACCAGGCTGTGAGGAAGCTGGGCTGCAGGGGGGGGGGTGAGAGGTTCAGGGACTTTGGGGTGAGAGCTTCAGGAAAAAGGAAGTGAGCTCTTGGGGTGAGAGATGAAGCTGGGACTGAAGAGGTGGCCAGGACTTGATGGAAGACAAAGGGACAGAAGAGAAGAGGCAAGAACAGAAACGAGGCAATGGGGGAAGAGTGGGAGACCCTGTCAAAGGGGTGGAGAAGCATCCTTAAGACTTGGACACTTACTTTCCTAGATTGCTATTTCACAAATTCAAAAACTTCCAGGGGGGGGGGCGGGCAATAGAAATCCCATACCCCAGATCTGACAGATGGCAAGACACAGGTGGTCATATTCCTATAAAACTTTATGTGTGCACATGAATGGAAGCCCCTCACAAAGATAAGATACTGTATATATTACTCTGTCTTACGCAGTTTCGATTTTTTACGTTTTACATTTTGGTGGAGTTGGCAGCATGTGCTGTGGTATGGACTCCATCACTCACTGGCAGAAAGAAGTCAGAGGGCAACCTCTGGCAATTTAGTTCTCGCTTTCCATCATGTGGGTTCCAAAGATGAAACTCAAGTTATCGGCTTTGGCAGCAAGTGCCTTTACT